CTTAGGGCTATTGACAAGGATTCCAAGACAGGCCTGGTTCTTGGGAGGATGGCAACTCAACCTCCCTCCCCTCTTCCCCATAGCTTGGTTAAAGAGAACCGCTCCGTGACTGACCATCAGATTGCTCAATTCCAAAATGGGAATCCAGATGGACATATGATAATTATTATCTGACAGAAAAGAAGCCTCAGAACCTTCAATCAATAAAGATTCTAAGAGAAATTAGTTCTGTGAAATCTTATATTATTATTATTAATAATAATATATATTTTACAAAACATTTACCATTTTCCTACCCCTATCAATGAGGGACATGAATTACATTCATTGAGCTCTTCAACCATCACCACCACCTGTTTCCAAAATTCCCCACTACCCTAAACAGAAATTCTGAGTTCCCTAAACAGTGAGACCACCTTTCTCCTTTTCTTTCTCCCCGCTACCCTAATTAGCATAGTAAACAGATTTCTCTACACTTGCTTATTCTCAATATTCTGTATTCTTGTGTGGATTCTTATACCAGAGCCCTCGAATAACAGACAGATAATTGTGCCTTTTCAGATGGCCAATAGCTGTTGTATTGATTCCTGTTAAAAGTGAAGCATAATGACCTCACAATAAATCATAATTCAGTGAAGGCCTCTCAGGGGGAGCTGGTTGATGCTTCTTTCTGGTGATACTTGCTCTCAAGTACTTTGGATGTTGTCAGAAGAGACCAGTCCTTGGAGAAGGACAGCATGCTTGGTCAAGTGGAGAGGCAACACCCTGGACAAGACAGCTAGACACAGTGGCTGCAACAGTGGGCCCAAACATACAATTGTGAGGATGGCTTAGGACCCGGTAGTGTTTTGTTTTGTTGTACTGACTCATGGCGCCTAACAACAATATGCTCCTTTCTTGCAGCTCCAGGGTTAAGAAACCACAGTGAGTCAGGTAGCAACATACTCCTAACGTGGCTCTAAATGACCTTCTTAATGAGACAGAAAATGCAGACGCTGCAAAGAAATAGACCGATAGATCTGGCTGTATAGACATACAAATGTCTGGTTGACTAGAACATACCAGAAGAAAACATCAAAGGAGAAATGATAGAAGAAAACTGGTTGTGCCATGTATCCCTCAGCCCACAGGCACTCAGACAAGCCTCCCCAGAACTCAACTGCCACCTGTCCCCCAATGCCGCCCACCCTCTTGATTGTGGTTCCTGTTGGGTATGGCCGAGTCACAAAAAGCCCGCTGTTGCCGGCTCTGTATCAGACCATCTTGTCGTCTTCCTCTTTGTTGAGGACCTTCTTCCGAAGTTTGTTCTTCTCCAAGAACTGACCCCTTCTGATAGGGTTTTTCCGATAACACTTTCAAAGTAAGTGAGATAACATCTCGCCAACCTTGTTTTGAAGAAGCATTCTGGTTGTACTTCTTTTTTAAAAAACTTTCATTAGTATATCCTTCACAGGTCATATAATTTCATCGCTAATCTTATTAAGAAGATTTATGCAACCATGACCACAGTCAATTTCAGAACATTTTCTCCTCGTGGTCATTGTTGTGCTTCTTATACGACATTTCCCCAGGCATCAAAGCATCCCTGTTTGCAGAGGGCAATGTTTCTGAAGTTAACGGCCTAGCGTTCTGTAAAGAGGTCATGCTGGAAGAGCAGTGGGGACCAGAGAGGGGACAGATTCCTCCCCCATCACAGATCTCACTTTACGTCCTATGTGAGGGAAGAGGCTGTCTGGCCACAATCAGGAGCACCCCCATCTTATCGGCTACTGTCTTTCTTGCAAATAACCCTCTCTCATCTGCACTCCTTCCTGATGAGGGTCCGAGAGGGGTCATGGACTCCATGGGGCTCACACACTCCAAGACGCTCCAGAGCATGTGTGAGACACAGCAAAAGGGGTCTCAGGATCAAAATGTGAAAAGAACCCAGTGCCTTTCATAACATCTGAGCCTGATATCAAGGACTCGCTGGGATCCTGATGGGGAAGAAGAAGTGGGGAGTGGGTACAGTTGTCAGAAAGGGAATGAGCCAGGCAAAGCTACTACATTCCTTTCTTCTTTCCTTTCTTTCTTCCTCCAACAGCCACTTTCTTACAGAGGAGGATGGGAGTGAGTTGGTTCCAACTCAAAGGGACCCTATGTACAACAGAATGAAACATGTCCTAGCCCTGCGCCAGTCCAATGGTTGGGGTGGGTGAGCCCACTGTCGCAGCCGTGATGTCAATCCACCTCATTAAGGGTCTTCCTCTTTTTCATTGACCCTTTACTTTCCCAAGCATGAGGTTCTATTTCAGGGACTGGTCCTCCCTGATAGCATACCCAATGTGTGTGAAATGAAGTTTTGTCATCATTACGTATAGGGAAGATTCTGGTTGTACTTCGTCCAAATGCAGATTTGTTCACTCTTGTGGCTCAAAAACTCCCTGCCATCAAGTTGATTCCAACTCATAGTACCCCCACAGGACAGGGTAGAAATGCTGCTGTGGGTTTCTGAGACTTTAACTTTTTATAGGAGGTGAAAGCCATGTCTTTCTCCCTGAGAGTAGCTGGTGGTTTTGAACTGCTGACTGTGGATCACAGTCCTATGTGTAACCATTGCACCACCAGGACTCCTGATAGCCCACAGGATGTTCAATATGCTTTGATAATCCCAAAATTCAAATGCATCAATTATCCTTCAGTCTTCCTATCCATTATGCAACTCTTGAATGTCTAAGGGAGGATGGGCAAGAACCATCAGAATGAGTTCATTTCTTCAGCGTGCATATGTGATAGTAGGGGTGGGGGGGTGCTTAGAACAATTAACAAGTTTCTGGTGGATCCATAGGATTGCACCTAGTGGGCTAGAAATGCCACTCAGAGTTTCCAGTATGTTCTCTGGACTGGTAGTGTCTGGTTCACATCTCACTACTCTTAGAGACCCTTTCTTTGTAGTTTTGGTTTGGGTACCCTCTCAACCCTCTAGTCCTCTCATTCCAATTTCTGCTCTAGAATTTGTCCTCTGGCAATAGGGCTTTGGCCCTAAGCCCACCGCCCCCTTTCCCCCACCCCCCTCCTCAAAAATAAAACTTTGTGGAACGCTTGAGCTCCTGGGCTCCCAAGAATCTGGCTACACTTGGTCCTTGACTTCCAGGTCCTTGGCTTCCCAAGACTCTCTCTGGTGGAGATGGAGCCCCCTGTCCCAGCCTTCCCACCAGGGATGGAGAATTGGATAAGAACTTTTCAGAAACAACGAGTATGTGGGCACAACCTCCTGCAAGGCAGGACTGGCACCATGACGTTTTCCTTTCACAGAGAGCCCATCACAGCCCCAGAGAGGGAGGAATTTTTCAAACGATCACGATCCTGATGGTCCTTCACATGGCTCATGGTCTTGTCATTTAACCAATTCCACCTCCTTCCTCTTTCAGTCTTACTTGCCGGTGGGAAGTGGCTGCAGGAGGAAGCTCACGAGTGAGTTAGAGAAAGCAGAAGCGCTGGGAGTGGAAGGAGCTGAATTTGCAGGGTGCACTTGCTGGTAGACGCCCACCCAGGAGAGCCTGTGAAGAGGCCATGCACCGACTGCTCCTCCTCCCCCTCTTCTTCTGCCTTTCAGGTGAGTGGGCCTGGGTGTCCATCCGCCAGTGACCTTTCTCCAGCAAGAGGGAGTAGCTGGCAGACCCAGGATGGCTCCCAGCAGGAAGTTATCCTGCCAAGGAGTTCTTCACTGGTTGTTGCAAATACATTATGACACTCGTGTGTTCCACCCACTCCCTCACTCGCTCAGAGCCTACGATCACCAAAGAACCTCTGGGTGGATTTTAACTGCCCATCTTTCAGCTAGTAGCCAAGTGTCTAACCATTTGTACCACACAGAGGACCCAGTATAGTCCCTGGCAAATGAAAAATTTAGAATGTACCAGACTCTTGCAAAACTAGACTTCAGCATGATTACAGATAGACACCACAAACAGACACTACACCATCAGGTAAATAAAGGCCCTTTAGGAAATAAATTGGGCCACACAAACAAATCTGCTCTCTGTGACATCTGAAGAGACCCAAGGCACTACACAGACCCTTAGGAGGGAAGTGAGTTGTCAAACTTTCTTTCATCAAAGAAAGGACATAGGAAAGACAGCATTAGGCTACACAGTAAAGATTACAGCTTAAAATACTTTACATGGAATAAAAGATATCAAAAAATTGTTTCTAGAAATAAAAATTGAGCGTGGAGGAAACAAGTCCCTTTAGATAACTTGTATCATTAAAGGCAATATTTTTTTAAATACAATGAAATAGTCATTATAAAATGACCAAAAGCAAAACCTCCATGCATCAAAATGTATGTGGCATGACCAAAGCTGGATTTAAAAGCACATTGGGGGGATAGTTTGGTAGCTCCTCACAAAGTTAAGAGTCGTTGTCATTGTTCGGTGCCATTGAGTGGATCCTGAACCATAGTGACCCTACATACAAGAGAAGGAAACACTGCCGCGGTCCTGCACCTTCCTGACGATCGTCCTTATGTCTGAGCCCACTGTTGCGTCACTGTGTCCATCCATCTTGTCAAGCATCTTCCTCTTTTGCTCTGTCCTCTACTTTGCCAAGCATGATGTCCTTCTCCAGGGACGGGTCACTCCTGACAACACGTCCATAGTCTGTAAGACAAAGTCTCACCATCCTTATGTCTAAGGAGCACTCTGGATGTCCTTCTTTGAGACAGGCTCACAGTGACCCTAAAGAGGGTTTCTGAGACTGTCAACCTTTACTGGAGCAGAGAGCTTTCGTCTGTCTCTTGAGGAATGGCTGGTGGGTTTGAACCACCAACTTTGTTGCGAGAAACTCACAGCACCACCAAAAGTTCTTCCCATAAAGATTACAATCTAGAAAACCCATTGGGTCACATGAGATCGCTATGGGCTGGGATCAAACACAATAGCACTTAGCAAAAGACCCACATAACTTCATAGTGATTGCCAAAGGACATTCTTTGAAATATAAAGATTATGTTAGCGAACATGCTGGGAGTAGGTAAATCATAGAAACCCATTATTGCTCAATGTCAACATCTTAAATTCTTTTGAAATCTATCATTATACTCTTTAGTGACTTAAATGGTGGCTTTGAGAATGGAATTTTGAAGGACGAAAAGTTGGCCTAGGGAAGGTATACTCCTTCCTTGATTGTTTTCCAATTCATCATGTGCTTGGGTTGGAGAGCTTGTCCCACTGCAGGAGGTTGTGGCCCTCCCGTCAGGTTGGGGAGTGACAAGTACGTGGATTGGTGTTTTCCAGGCTGCGCCAAACTCTGGGGTCCAAATGCAGTGATTGGCCCGAAGAAAGGCTTATTGACAGTACAATGTAATTATGCCCCTGGATGGGAGACCTACCGCAAGTGGTGGTGCCGAGGAGCCGAGTGGGATAGGTGTGAAACCCTTGTCATAACCACTGGATCTGAGAAGGAGGTGAAAAACGGCCACATATCTATCAGAGACCATCATCAAAGCAAAACATTCACGGTGACCATGGAGAGACTCAGGAGAGAGGATGAAGACATTTACTGGTGTGGGATTCAGAGATCTTGGACCGTGGACCTTGGAGTCCAGGTTAAAGTGTCTATTGGCCCAGGTGAGTGTGTGTGTGTGTGTGTGTGTGTGTGTGTGTGTGTGTGTGTGTGTCTTAAAGCACTTGCTCTCTGTTGATCCCAAAGGGACTAAACTGTGGGCAGGCCACAGAGTGGTTGACCCCTGGGTGTCACTGAACCCAACTGTCATCTTGGGGCTGAAAAGGGCTCCTTCAAGAAGAAATGCAGCCTTTCTGGGCACGTTTTCTTCTCTGTTCCACTGAGACTCTTGCTCACAGAGAACAAGGTGACGGACCTCAGTGTCACCCATGAGCTAAAGGGTGTCCTCTTCCATGAGTCCCAGATACCTCAATCTCTGCCAAAACTCTCCTGGGACCCTTGTTGCCTAGGAGTAACTGCTCTTTGTGAAGTTCTAAGCTAGGTTGTCATTGCCCCTTCCCATCTGATATCCCCAAGGTAGCCTCATGGGTGACAGAGGCCCAGAGAGCCTAATTCTGCAGTCTGGAAAGGCCCCACAGCCAAAGAACTGGCCTCCTAGCGCCTGAAATCCTACCTGCCATTTATGCATTTGTCCCTAATAATGTTCTCTTTCAAAGTCCTTCCAGAAGGCCAACACTCCTAGCAAGGTCAACTAAGAAGCCCCAGGGCTTTGACTGGAGTGGATCTGTTGGCTTCTGCTTCTGCTGGCCCGCTGATGAGCAAGTATCTCAGGATACTTGGGGTGTCCATCCACAGAGCCGAAGCATGCTTCCATTGTGGAGAAGTGGACAGCCATACCCAAGGAGCTTCAGAACTTTCTCAAAGGAAAGACTATCCTTAACATTTTGTTTCAACTTGGAGCCAGTTCTGACCTTAGAAGTCACAAATGTAGGCTATTTCCGAACAACTGTGTGCAAGCTTCCATTCCCCAGCTCA